AGCATAGAAGAACGACAACAACAACAACATAGCACACCAAATCGGCCCCTTTGATTCTTTGTGGGGTGTTTATTATGAGGCACTAATCAGAGGTTAGGCACTAGAATTAGCAGGCATTGACAATTGGGACGTGGTTAATTGAGGGCCACAACGATGTTTTCAAATAGAACTTGCGCCACGTAGGATTAGGGCCCACGTGTTGCATTGGGAATCGTGCACGATTGTGCTCGTGGGGGTTGGCGTTGGCGCCCTTTCTGAGGAGAGGTCGTTAGGGCTGCTGGGTTTAAGGCACCCGGCCCGGTGTATTTGCCATTCTAAGGGACACACACTCACACACATAAGACAGAGGGCGTGGCCACCAATGAGTTCACTGGTTCTCGTCCCCCTGCCCCTACGCACGGTCATCCACTTCCCTTATTTTTAGAACCAAGCCCCCCCACGGTCACCCGCCTCCGTTATTTTTAGAACCAAACCTCCCCCACGGTGACCCGCCTCCCTTCGTGCATCCCCCCCCTCTAGCAACAGACACAAGAACACTGTTTCGCTCAGAAGATTCTCTTGGGATCAGATCTTGTACTTATAGTTTATGTGACTCTTCATATAAACTCTAGGTTAGGATTTGCATGTTTTACACATGGAGATATTGCCGCGTGTGGTTTCTAAACTTTTTTTTTTAAAATATATTATTGTTATTCATTTTGGTTGTTTAGGAGTATAGAAGCAAAATCATTGAGGTTGAGACTGGAGCTCAATGTTGCACGAAGGGCTGGTGTGGGAAGATTTTAGAGCTTGCGTGCTGGCATGCGGGTGACGTTAGTCTTGTGGGCGGTCCATTAGGCAGGGGAAGGTTTCCTCGTTTTGTGGGGTCCTTATATAAGACTTTTGTAGTTGTTTGTCCAGTTCAAATTTAAAACACGGTCAATGACATTGTCAAGGAACTCATGTGGTTTTACCATCTAATTAAGCAATAGGAGGTATCACATGAGAAAAATGGGTACGAGAATAGATCATGAACCGTATGAGAAAAGAAGTCATACAAGTTGAATTTGTTATAGAGAATGTTATGTCCTCGGGGAAGAAAGATTAAGGTAATCCTCCAAAGGAAAGAAAAATGAAAAAAGAAACCCTAAATTGTAACAATCCATGTTAAGGCAATGTCGAGAAGCATTTGTAATGTGTGGTCTACGCAGTGGTTGCAGTTAGATCGTCCATCTTCAATACAAAAAAATATTATTCGCTGAACCCAATTATGTTTTGTACTTTGCAGAAAGCCTGTGGATAGCCTTCAACAGCGCATGATGAATGCAAGGGAAAAGCCACAAAGATCCCCCGACAACCCAGCTACAGACGAGCGATGATGTTTATTAAGAAGAGAGGGAGTTGGAGGAGGAGGAAATGTGTGCAAGAGATCGATGAATCAGAGGTGATTTGATGAGATGGTACTGGCCATGACATAAATTAAAAAAAACACTGTGAAGTGGCAGGAGTGACACTGGCAAAAGCAGGGGGGGGGGGGGGGGGGGGCGGCAGCCTCCCATACACGACATCAAGCCTCCACCCTGGCTCATCCTGGTCTCCGCACCACACCATTCACTGGCATCGTGGCAGAGAAAAAGATACTGTTGCTACTGTTTCTGCTGCTGCAGATCTATAAGGCTTCTGTATCACTCAGGCTTGGCTGTCTGCTTCTTTGGTGTTACTGACCTTGGAGGTCGTGATCCACTAAATTATCCCTTCCTCTAGAAAACTTGCTTCTGTTTCTTCTACTGCTACGTTTTGGCTGTCAGCTCCAAACTTTGGTAATCCTGCACCTTGCTGTCGTCATCGTTTTTGTTGTGTGCTTCTGTCAACTTTATCTTCTTCTCTATTTTCTTTTCTTTTCTAAGGATTATGTGTTTCTATAATAACCATTGTGATAAAAAAAATCAGGTCCATCAGTCTGGTTGATTCTGTGCATTCCTGGCTGTAGTCAGTAGCTGCCTATCTGTCAAAGTGTGCCATTCCAGATGAAAATATACAAGTAGGATTTGTTGAAGGTACAATAATGTTGCTCCCAAGGTGAGCTGTTCACCTGGCAATTGACAAGCAATTATGTGATTCTTGTCTAATGCATTGGTAGGTCTGTATGTCTTTGTTTTGTTGGGATCAGGGGTATGCGAGAGAGAGCAATAGTGTTCATTTCTTTGCTTAAAAAATAAAGTGTGAATGGTTGATGATAATAGGTTAGACTTTGTTTTTCTGATAATAAATTATTAAATAGAAGTCAACTGAATTTTCTATTATTAGTTGGAATAAGTATTGTTGAAAGTAGGACTTGGAGACAGAGCATCCACAGTGAACTGTTTGGCTTTGGATGTGTGCTTTGGATGTGTGCAAGTAGATGTCATGCTTCTGCTAGGACAAGGTTCCAAAACCTTAATAATGCCAAATCTTTTTCAAGGTTTGAGTACAAGTGTCAAATTCTAAGCATCATGCATTGCCTTTTTACTTCTTTTTTCCTAGACATTGGCACATTGATTTGTAAGGAAATTAGAAGTTAGGTGCATGTTTTGCATTTCACTTTTAAACATTAAAGACAGATAGATAAATACAAAGCAAAAAAGGTGTGTGTGCAGATTGAAAGATATATGTTTTAATGCCATGTGAAATTGAAAAAAATGATTTTATTTGATTTTATTTTTTACTAAAGAATACAGATACGTAATTCATCCATTGTAAACTTAATTCTGTCAATTTTTTTGATTGTTATATTGAACATAGGGAATAATTGCTAAAAATCTAGGTATGTGCTAATGAGTTCCTATAAAACATGGGAAATCCAACCCAATGTATCAAACTTGTTTCACCAATGTTTGGCATGGACATGGTATTCAGTACAAACAAGAAATACAATAAGGATCACAAAGCTTGGTAAGCAAATCAATTGAATGTAACCATTATCGATAGTTTTAATAATTGTAAGTCATATCCAAATATAAATTTGAATAGAATAAAATTATGTATTTTTATTTCAATATTTCAATACTTGTTTCTCAAATCATCAATCATACTGATTCAAGGGAAGGGACAGAAAGAGAGAGAGAGAGAGAGAGAGAGAGAGAGAGAGCAAAAAAAAAAAAAAAAAAAAAACTTTGATGATGTTCAAGCTTAATCTATCCATATATCAAATGAAACCAACACGCAATGAAGAAGATACGCTTGTCACATCTCAGTTAATGCTCAGTTCTGGTCAGTTTGATGTTGAATTGAGAGTTGACATGTATGTACTTGTATTAGAGATAGAGAATTTATAGAGCTGAGCATGGAAATCAAGCATGAGTGCCAAATAGTCAACACAGAAGTTTGCAGCTGGGAAGATATCTTCACCATGCAACTTTTTTGTTCACATATCCAAACTTTCTTTTCATAAAAATATACACATCCACAAATATACAAAATTAATAAAGGGAAGAATCAGAAAGGAAGTAGTTTCCAACTTTTTGGTTTCAAAAGTCAACCCCAGCAAAATACACACACACACATCTCTGTGTAAGGACCTAAAATTTTCTCAAAGATTGACAAGCACTGCGATGTGAAAATTTAGAAGGCAACATATTGTCTGGGAAAGCAAGACCATTTGAAGGCTTGTATATACATACACACTCACTGAAGCAGGAAAGTTCAGAGCAAATGATAAGTCACGTATTTATATATGAGTACGCTGTTCCATGATAGAGCTTTGCCTTACAGCTTTGTCCCGTGTAAGTTAGATTTATTTTTAACAGTAATAACAAAAGAGACGAATAAAAAGAAAAAGATAACTCCATTTCCTAGAATACGGTGATTACTTGTTCCACGAGAGAATTAGCAAACCCATGTTATTGCTTGGACATTGTCAAGCAATGACTTGGTTAACAATGTCACTTAAGGTGAAACTCCAGTTATTCTGTTCCCTTCCCCATCTTCTACATTACAGTCAAGTGTTGTTGATTCAGAAACGACGCGTCACTGAAGCGGCTGAGCCGGATCAGGTCCGAGCTTGGCCATTCAACAAGACTTGGCATCTGAAGTGGGAAAGTTTCGTGCGTTTGAGTTGAGTTGAGCGCACAAACATGACGACGTGCAGCGCCGAAGTACGGGTCCAAACAGTTCAACACACTGGTCAGGTATGATACTGCCGATAGCCTATCCATTTTAAACGTTTGTGATCGGTGTGGGAGCCTTTCGCCACCCACTGGCAGTCTCGGTGATTGGTTATTCCACAATGTGGTTTGCTAATTAAAGATGCAAAAGCCCACTTTCGCATGATGGCATGCTATTGGGCAAGATGCAAAACTACTGGCGCAATGAAGGAACAGTGGCCTTGGTTGAGATGAGACTCGTGACGGCGCACTCGGGAAGAAACCTGGTCCGCGACGATGGTAGGGCAATGCATTTGCACCGCACAGGCATCGTGAGAATATCTGATTCGTCTGGCAATTGACGTACGTGGGAGATAACACTCGGTTCCACGAACAATTGATTGACTTTTAATAGATTTTCTTCTTGCCAGGGCTCAGTTTTTGTTATATTACGGGAGCGCCTGATTTAGAGTGTCCCAGCAACTCCGACGTCGAGACGAACTGCTCATGCAATTCATCTTGTCAGGACACTTGCCGCCATCTAGAGAAATGAAAAAAACACCGGTGCGTTGCAGCGGTATCGAAGGTACCGCTGCGAAGCAGATTGCCAGAGGGATAAATGAGTCGAGAAAAAAAAATAGGAGATGTAAAATTGACGGTCAGAATCACCAGTGTCTAAAATTTGGCTGTGGAATTGCTTGCCAGAGGGGGGAAAAGAGAGGCGCGGAAAGAAAGAAGCCATGCCAGAATGACAGAAGTCTTTTCTGGGACGATGAGATGCAGTCTGGATGCTGCGGGATTTGGTATATAAAGATAACTTCTCCGTTTAACATGCCTCTCTGTCGGCTTTTGAGGATTCTTTGCTGGCCTTCAGAAAGAAATTGGAAGCCAAAGGGTTGGCAGTAGTGGCTTTTGATGCAGCTGTGTAGAAGATTGTCTCATCCTTGAAAAGCTTGGAAATAACACCCGAGAAAATATGCTCTGGGGGAAACATTAGCAGTTGGGGCCAGCCTTGGGAAACAATTTCAGTTGATAGAATAGGGGTATTTTTAGATGGAAGGAGAGCGAATCCGTGTATTAGGGCTTTAGGTCTACTGAGCCCTACGATGGTGGAATGGGTATGTGGAGGTCTACCGAGCACGTCTAGTAAGTAGTAGCGAAGAAGAGGAACCAGTCCGGTGTAGATGTGGTTGTAAAAGTATTGCAGCTCTGCGACGGGTGGCGGCGACTCGCAGCGATCATCAGTGATTGCACCGTGTTCACGTGAAGCTGGTTGAGTGTTGAGTGTATGGAATAGAAGCTGGTTAGGCGCTCAGCTGCTCTTCTAGTATAGTTGATCGGATGAACTCTGGCTGTTGAGGAGCTTCGGGAAAATTGATTGGTTTTTTGAGGCTCGCCGTAGAGCAATATCGGAGCAGAGGTCTATATTCATCTCTTAAATGGCAGGTTTTTGGTATCAGCAGCTCAGTGGAAAATCGATCAAGACTATTGCGCTCTTAGTTCGTTTGAATTAGTTTGCTACCCACATTGAAAGTGCGGTTTGACCGGCTTGACCTGCTTCTCTAGTGCCCTTCTCGTGGTCTTCCAGTCCCTTCGACTTCCGTCTTGATTAGGATCACCTCGGCTGTTGCAGTAGACTCGGTGTAAGTGTGAGTAAGAAGAATGAGGGTGGGAAATGTTTAAAGTCTCGTTGTTGCAAAGTTTAGGATGGTGGTGAGAAGATTAGCCGGAGATACTGGCGATCCTTGGCAGGAGCCTGGTCGCCGTCCGTGCACGGCTAGTGAACTAGACATGCCGAGGAGAAGTTGCGACATTCCAAGTCTTCATCTCAATGTCGATGAACCAAGGTTGCGCAAACCGTTAGTGACCTTGAAGCCAATCTCTGGGTACGCCATTTTTCTCACATTATCATGCATTACACGGTTTTCTACTTTATTGATTGGGAGTCTCTTTATAGTGAAGCTTGTTCGAATCCTGATCGCAGTATTTCTTCATCTTGTTTATCACATGCGTTACATTTTTGTCTAGATTACTCAGCATCTGTACGTCATTGCGGTTCTTGCTCTACGTAGGCTTAATATGTCGCCAAGGTGATCTTACGTGGTTGCGAAATGTATGTGGTCTCGGATAGAACCGTTTTCATTAATCAGTAAAGTTGCGTTGCAGTAAGTGCATGTGCTGAACCTGAATGTTGTGTGGATGGGTGGGTTGCCAGGCTTTCAGTTAAGGATCAAACACAGAAGAGCCAGAAAGTTACTGGATCCTCGCTAGAGCTTCGTCTTACTCAGAAGTACATGCATCAGGCACTGCCGTCGGAAGGAATTGACAACGTGGCGTCCCGCAAGCCAGTCAATGGCAAAAAGCTTATAAAACTTGCTCGGCGTGTGGAACTTGAAAATGAGGTGGTTGAGTTGCATCATCAACTCGAGCAAGAAGTTGAGCTTCACAATACTTTGAAGAATGCGCTTTCAGACTCATCCAGTGCGCAGTTGCCTGACTCAGTTTTGCACGACCTTCCTAATAACGTCCAGAGGTTGTTGACAGACATCGCAATGCTGGAGGCGACTGTGTTAGATTTGGAATCTCAAGCATCCGCCTTACAATGGGATCTTGGCCGCGAGCGGACCGAGCGCAAAGGCATTGAGTACACCCTCAACGCACCTCTGAATGCGTCGTTGAAACCCCGATATGAGGACTCTTCTGCTGCCTCCCTTCCATCTAGATCCGCACCGGCACCGTCTGCAAAATCTCCAGTACGATCGGCGAAATCACCTCTACGGGTTGCGAAATCGCCAACTCTTGCTACATTGAAGGAGCTTCTACATGAACCAACTCCAGAACGCGAACAGTCATTGGCTCCCCCATCCAAATCTCCTCGAAAAAGCTTACGGTCCTTGTGGAGCGCCCTGGAAGATCGCCCCCCAACGTCTTTCCTCCCCAATTCGAAGAATGTACCCACCTTGCAGAGAAGTCTCCAGCAGTCAGCCGTGGAGACGACGACGACGACGACGTATTTCCCGTCAACTGCAGCAGTTGCGCCTCGTACTTCACATATATCTCCACCTTTATCTCCTAGCACTCCCGCGGATCAACCGCGTAACATCACGCCCATCACTCCAGCACGTGAGCAGGATGGAGTGCCACGGAAATCCATGAATCCCGCTAGGTTGCTTGTTTCCACCAAGCGTCTCGCCTTCTTGAACTCCTCTAACACCTCTGATGCGGAGTCACTCAACAATCGGTCAGCAAATCCTACTCCCGAATTCGAGCAACCCACCGACTCCTCACCTCACGATTACTCCCCTATCCTTGATGAAGACTTCACCGATCATGTGAAGATGCCTAAGCTTCGACGAAGTCGAGGAATGAAACGACAGGACCAATCCCTTCTTTCTCCTCTCGATGATGCAAGGTGGGCCTCGAATTTCTCAGAAAGCGAGGTCGTGTTGGCGAGCCCCAGGAAGTCTATCAAGGATTCTCCTCGCCCAACCGCAGCGGCGGAAGTGGATGGCTTGTTCTCGGAGCTACTGTCGGATCCCAATCGCCTGTCGGAGGAGATGGTGCGCTGCATGGTGGATATCTACTGTCACTTGGCAGAGCCAAGCGGCGAATCGAATTTCTTCCCCGAGTGCCCTCTCTCACCATGCTCTCACACCGGGCGCCTCTCAACTTCGTCATCCTATTCCTCCCAATCCGATTCGTCCCTCCCTTCCGGAGCTTACAGCCCCGAGATGGACCCCGTGCAGTATGGAGACGTGATGGGATCCGTATCGACGTTGGACCCTTACAAGGCCATGGGGAAGCTACCGTGGGCTAACATTGGGCCTTACACGGATGCTTTCGAGGTACCATGGCTGTCTGTGGGGAAGGACCAGCTTGAATACGTCGCGCACAGCCTTGGAAAATTTAGGTGAATACACATCCTTTTCATTTACCACCAATTGTGTGATTCTGAAGCCTCTTTTGGATAGAGATGCTTCCGAACCGAGGGTTGGCATTCCTAACCGGGGAATGATCGTCGTGCAGGTTGTTGGTGGAACGATTGACAAACGTTGATCCTTCGACCATGAAGCACGAACAAAAGTTGGCGTTCTGGATCAATCTTTACAACGCTCTCCTTATGCACGCCTTTCTTGCCTACGGAATTCCGAGAAGCGACCTCAAGTTCTTCACTCTCATGCAAAAGGCAGCTTACTGCGTCGGAGGTCACTGGTTTAATGCCGCCGCCATCGAGTGCAATCTCCTCAAAGCCAAAATCATGTTGCATCGACCTCAATTTGCACTGATCGTGGCGCTTCACAATAAGAAGCTGACTGAGGAGCAGAGGCAGTTTGGGATCGATCGCGCAGAGCCGAAGGTGAACTTCGCCCTCTCGTGCGGTGGACACTCTTCCCCCATGGTGCGCATCTACACTCCCGAGCACATCCACGATGAGCTTGATTGCGCCTTTCAGGACTATGTGCGCGCCACCGTGGGCATAACAGCCAAGGGTGGCGTCTTACTCCCCAAGCTCGTCTACAATTATGCTCGAGAGTTTGTCCAAGATGACATGGTGCTCGAGTGGGCGTGCCGGTTTCTTCCAATTGCACAAGTGACAGTCATCTACGAGTGCATCCAGCAACGCTCTCGCCGCCTGCTGCTCAATCCTGCCACTTTCTCTGTCGTCCCTTACAGCTTTGCCTTCCGATATCTGTTTCAGAAAGCGATCAGCGGCGCAGCAAGCAACGCTGGTGACTTTGACTTCGCACCCAAAGATAACAGCCGGCATCGCTTCTGCACTTAGGCTTCGAAAAGTAAAGCAAGTCGTGGAAAGGTTTTGTGATCATAGATTTACGAAGTTGTGGATATAAAATTTCATAGAAGAAAGGTGGATGAGATCGTCGATAAGGTGGTGCTCAATTTTTGTTTACAGCATCTGAGTTTGTACAGACGATGACATTGTCTATAAGTGCTGAAAATTCCAAGCATCATTACACAGTCTATCTGGATCTCCGCAACTACCAACCCTGTCATTGTGACGTCATGATGATTGATCACTTTCTATGCACAAGTCAATTTGCATCTGTTTGTACATAGAAATCTTCTCAACCTGTTCCGTGAACCAAAAGTCTTCTGAATAGCAGGGACGAGGGCCCGAACGAACTGTTCCGCGTTCTCAACCGCATAAGTTGTGAAACATGCTTACTAATAGCTTCTGTTGGACACATCAAACCTCCAGCTGTGAAGGAACTGCCGGTGCAGCTCTTGATCATCGTAGAGGAAACGCAGCCAAGCCTCGAGGCTGTCCTACACCGACCGATTCCCTTTCTTATGAAAAATCCATAAACCTCGATCTTTGTACACTTCAACCATCAAAATATTTGGCTGACCCGAGTTGCGAAGTGCCCACAAACGACAGAAGCGCCTGGCGGATCGTGGATGACCGTTTCAGGACTGCTTCGAAAGGGGCTCCAGGCTGTCGCTCTTCGCACCCAGCGCGGAGCTACCGCTACGCGGGGCCCTCTATTTCCAGCTTCCGTCAACTTTTCGGCACGAAACTCATGTGTCGTCTCGATTGCCCTAATTGGGCTACAGTCCGAGCTCACGCACCACCCTCGTTGGACGCGAGCATCTTCGAATCATCGAGACATCCGAATGCGTTGCGGCTGCAGGCTGACGCGCTGGCAGCCCCGACGCTGCCTCCGCCGCGGAGTCCCTTTTCTTCTGCGCAACGGAAGCATTACAAACGCTTCTATTCATCTGATGTTTTTGGATGTACAGATTTCATCCACTCGTGCTGCTTCCTGTGCATTCGTGCGTATCCTCCACGAATATGAACCTCTCCTTTGGGTTCAAGTCAGAAATGACTTCAAATGTTTTGTGTTAAGTTCTAAACATTTTCTCATCTATATAGTCATAAATGTTAATTCCTCTCCATGATTATGAAATTTTTGATGAAGGAGAGAATATATATATATATATATATATATATATAATTGCTACAATAAGATAATTTTGGTCCAAATTTGAATTATTTGAAAATTTTAGATTGAGTTGATATGAACGGGATTTGATGGATGTATCCAATTTTTGCAGCATCCAAGAAGATTGTATTATTCAGTTCATAAAATTTTAAAAATATTATTATTTTATAAAATATAAATATAAAGTCTAAAATGACCTCAAAGAGAGGATATAACTTTACATTTATGACCTTGATATTATGTATGAAGCAAGGATGGAATGTAACAATAATTTGTTAGTTTAGACAATGTAAGAGCTTCAAGAATGTTTGAAAGAACATCACATATTTTTTTGACTTTATCAATATGTTCATGAAATATTGTCAAAAGCAAGAAAAATAAGAAAGAATAATGATGATATATACATACATCTTCATTTTAGTAAAGATGTTGATAGAAGACATTATAATCTTCCAACTTCTAATAAGATTGTTGTTGTTATGCTAGATAATAGAACAAAGGTAGAAGGAATGAGAGATATAGTTGTTTGATGGAAAAGAATTGCATTGTAACAAATTTATAAAGAATATCCTATATATTTGCTACTCCACTATGTTATTTGTTTTCTATGCAGTCAACTTAGATGGCATAATGAAATGACACATAGAAATATGAATGCCAATAAAAATAAGCATAAAAATTTACAAATTGCATGTATTACTTAGATAAAATTTTATTCATATTAATTATTTCTATAATATATTGAATACTTAATTATTTGTCAGCAACAAGAACTTGATAAAAAAAATAAACAAGTGAGACTTTTTCAAAGCAGTATGGCAAAATAGAAATAAAGAAGTATATATATTAAAAGGAAAATAAAACAACTATTGCCAAAAGATAAGAAAATTAAAGTCTTCTTGAAATTAAACTAGAACAAAGAAAAGAATTGACAAGACTAACAAAGGCTTCACTCTTGCCTCTATATATATTATCTACGTAAAAGCTATGTGACAACATTCTATAGGACCTCCAAAACATATTGACTTTGCACAACACATATCTTAATTTACAAAATAAATTTTCTATACATGTGCCACATAGTTAGCTTGTTGCATAAAATACTAATATATGTGACACGTGATTAACTTTTTGACTAAGTTTCTAATCTATCAATTAATTACAAATACATGTAAAATCAAAGTAGTGTCTATAAAGCTTTTAGAAAGCTTTATTAAAAAATACTATGAAATTAATCTATTTTATTTATTTCTATTTATTCATATTACTTGAATAATAATTATAATAAATATATGTCCATGATATTATTCTCCATTTTGGAGACAAGTTCTATGAGAAGCAATGATCATATGTTGACAAAGTGTAAGATGCCACAAATTATATTTGTTACATATTCTAATCTTTTTTCCCTTCAAAGGTAGTTGATAGGTCCTCTCAACCATCGGTAATATTTCATTCTTAGATGCAAAGACCACTTTGTTATTTGATCATTGTTGATACTTTCATAACTTCTTTCAAATAAAACATTTGTAATACCATCAAGAATCATTCCTACTTCTAATAAAATTACCAAATATTAAGATTCTCTTTTTAAGTTGTGATATCAAATGCATTGTATTTCACCATTTATTGAAGAAAAGATATGTTGTTCTTGAAGGCCTTCATTTCTATTACATCAACTTGAAGTTTGTGCTAATTGCAATGTCTCATTTGGTAACTCAACAAATGATGGCTCTTGAATTGAATGTGCTTGTTGTTGATATTTCATCTTCTTAATGCCATAATTACATAGAAGTTATAAATAAAGATAGAAAATAGAGTTCAATCTTTTTTAAATTATATTTTTTTATAGGAAAGGTTTACTATCCTTCAATTTGATTTTAATAGATATTATTGATGAAAATCATCAATTTTTTTTTATTATATTTATAATATTTTTAATTGGCTTCTATGTGCATTTTTTAATATCATATTTACGCTAATAAATAAGATATTTTAACCTATTTTAGTAACGCCTTGAGTCTAAGACTTCTTCTACTTCAAATTCTTGATTATTATCCACTTCTATAAGAGATGCTGGTATTTGTCTTCTTTTCAAAATATTCATTATCTCATATGGCTCCAAAAGAAATACATGAAATATAAGATGGATTCTCATAGACTTCAATAGATGTAATTAATAAGTGACTAAATTAACTTATTCACAAATAAAAAATGGTCCAAATTTATGATAATCCAACTTTTTATAAAAAAAAATAGTTTTAATATTATAACAAAGTAATCATATTTTATTATTAATATGATTTGAAGTTCTTATTGGAGATTTGGAATGGTGTATAAAATTCTTAGCCAAATTCTTTTCAATATACTCTCTGAATTTAGCCAATTTATTTTGTGATAAACTGTAAATTGGTCCAAATAGCAGTTGAGTTTTTTTTAAAGGTCAATTGAAGAATCATAAGGATGATGTGTCAAAAAAGTATCTGAATTCTTCTTCTCAAATACATTTTGAAAATCTTGATATTAGCTAAGAATGCCATTTGAAGTCTTTCTACCATTAGAAATAAGTGTGGCATAAATGACACTAGATAATCATTTTATTGCAACTCACAAGAAAGCTCTTGTACCTACAAATACAAGTTTGGTTGTATTAGACTTATGACTTTTTATTTAATTAACTATACTCTTAATTAAATATTTAGAAAAGTCAAAACTATGAAAAATCCAATCTATTCAAGAATTATACTTTTTTAATCACGATAAATCTAAAATGACTAGATTAAAAAGAGATATAATGATATTAAATACTATAAAGTTACTATGACCATTAATTATTACTTTTAGAAGAAATATTTCATAAATAATATCTTTAGAGGACAAAAGACGACCTTTTTTGATTTTTATATGAATAATTTTTATTTTTTTTTATTAAAGATGTGTTTTATCTTTTAATAAACTCTTCATTTAAAAAAGAAATTAAGGCTTCTAAATCTAGTAAGGTAAAGACTTTATGATCTATAGGTCCTAAAATAATATCTATTATAAAATAAGAAGAGAATTTTGAAGAAAAAATAAGACCTTCATTAGGTATTGTATAAGATTCTAATCACACGATCGCTATTATAGTAAAAAAATATGTTTTTCAATATACTATCTTCTTTGATAGTTGTACTTCTCACTTTATAATTACATCAATTTTTTGGATAATATTGAGTAGCATACTTTGATTCTCTAGAATATAAACACAATCTTTTCTGACCATGATAAGTTTTTTCTTGCTTAATAAGAGGTTTGAAATGTACCATATTAATTTTCATATCCTCTACTTTTAAAAATATATATTGAAGAGATATTGTAAAATATAGATCTTGTTTATTATAACATAAATTATATCATTTTTTTCATATATAGATTAAAACTTTGCCAAGAGAGCTTCCAAATTATCTAATATTGGATCACATTATTCAAAAAAAGATGAAAATCATGATAACATATAATTTAAAAATAGTATTCTAATAAACCTAACTTATGATCTTACAGTTGAATAGATTTAGGATTGAATTTGAAATTCCACTTGTACTTGATTGATGAATCCTTGAATTTTTGATCTTATACCACTAAACTTCTCAAGTAAAGAAATTCTTGGTTTTTTAGTACTTGAATGGTATTCTATCATAAAAAAAAGATATAATTTCATAAAAATATTGAAATAGCTCGTATTATATTTATATCTTTACTTTTTGTCATTCTTGTTCTTTCTTGTGATAGTAAATTGAGTTGATGCATCGCAAGTATTAACTTTGTCAATTGTTCTTGCATTTGTCCCATTGTACTCTTTATTTTGATAAGTTGTTCTATAATAATACTTAAAAAAAAAGATGTTTAATATTGCTTAAGATAAATAAAAGATAAAATTTAAAAACACCAAAAATACTTAAAATAATATCACTTTAAAAGAAGGTAATTTGTAACTTCTAATATGCTTATATTTTATGAAGAATAAAGGATAATCCACTT